CGCCCCTCTTGATACGGGACCTGTTGCTATCGATCTTGGTTCTCACCTGCTGTTGAAGCGCAGTGCAGTATGCACGTGCGTTACAGCAAAAAGAAGAGTGTCTTCCGTCTGTGTGCGGAAATGGTGGGAACTAGTGTTCTCCGGGCCTGCAAGACAGAAGCAAGGGCGTAGATATGGAGGAGGTGGAAGAAGAGAGTTTGGAGGCTGGAGTAGAGCGGCAGGTGATCCAACATGTGGGATCGAGTTATGAGCATTAGTGCTCTGAGGATCCCCGTTGGGTTGGTACATGGTTATGTAGAGTATGAGAGGCGGCGTTGGGAGGTAGATGGTGGGGAGGGAAGCAATATGGGGTTGTGTGTTTCGAGGGGGGGAGAAGGGGTTGGGCGATGTGGGGGAAGAAGGGGAAGTGTGGGTTGTGTGTGCGGTGAACATGGTGATGGGCTGCTCGTCCGGTGGGTTGTTGATGGTGTGGGCGATTAAGGGGGCTGTGTCTGTCATGGCAGGTAGTGTGCACAGAGGTGAGCGGGAGAGTTCTGTGCCAGTCGGTGTAGCGTGTGTTTTGATGAGTGTATTGTGAGGTGAATTTTTGGCGTGTGTCTGCTTTTGTTTTTTTTGCTGTGGCAGGAGTTGGGGTCCCGGTAGGATGAATCCGTGTGTGTCGGGGTTGCTAATGTCGTTTCGCATTTTGTTTTATGTGGGGGGGGGTTTGATTTTATTGTTGACTGTGTGGATTAATTTGTCTAACGCGTTCTCGGCCTCCGCATTTCTAGGCAAGGAGCAGGGTCTTATGTCGCCGTGTGTGGGTCACGTTTTTTTTGCCATGTGCGGTATGGCCAATGTTTGTTGTTTTTTTGGGGGGAATCTGTGAGTCTGTTTTTTTCTTGGGGGGGGGTGGGTTTTGTAGCCGTGGGCGGGGCTGGGGTAGGGTGAGATGTGCAGGTTGTATATTGTTGTGTGCGTGTTGTGGGGTGTTTTTTTTTTTTTTGTGTGGGGTTTTTTTAGGGGCCTAATGGTGCAGAGAGAAATGTGCAGGTGGGATCGTTGCTGTGTGAAAGTATTGTAGCTGGTACTTTTCTTGGGGGGGTGCAATTGGGGCTGGTGGGTTGGGAGCTAGGTAGCGTGGTGATTTCCTGATTCCTAGCGGGTGTGTCGGGGCGCATTGTTGGTGTGGTTAGTACGGCCGTGGACTTTAAGTCTGTTAGTATGATTAGTTGCGGGTGTGTGTAGTGTGTTGGTGCGTATGTGTGTGTGTGTGTACGTGTGTGTGTGCGTGTGTGTGTGTGTGTGTGTGTGTGTGTGTGTGTGTGTTGTATATGTGTAGGGTGGTGGAGGTCTGTATGTTTGAGTTGTTTGTGTGTGTGTGTGTGTGTGTGTGTGTCTCCCTCATTCCCTCGTGATGGAGGTAGTGAGTG